CCCCCACCCCCTTGTGGGCTACCGTGGCAGGCTTTTTTTTTTTTTTTTTCTTCCACCCGCAGAACCAGCGTGCGAGAGTGAAACTAGCTGCGCTCGCAGCGCCGAGCCGCAGGGAAACCGCGAGCAGGCAGAGCAGGTAGCGGCCCAACAGGACGGGAGCCACCGAGCTGGGCGTCCTTCCTCTTCCTCCTCCTCTCCTGGAAGCGCGAATGTAGGTCAGGTTAAGAACGTGTGAAAAGTCGTGCGGAGAAAAGGACGGGCGCTCTCTCCACTCTCGTTAAGAGGACAGGCGCATCGGCCGCCTCGAGCTGGCGCGGGAGGCGGCTCGCTCTGCCTCGAGGTTTCTCGAGGGTGCCCGCAGGTCGCTCGCTGGTCACACACAGGCGTTTTCGGGGGAATCCGCCCTCCCGAGACCTGAATTGGTGGGGGGACCCCCGTTTCCCGGAGTGGGGGAGAGGCCGTTGACCTTCCCTCTGCCCCCCAGAACCCCGTTCGCCATCCCAGCAAAAGTAAAAATACATAATAAATAAGGCCTGCCCTCTCGACAGCCGTTTCCTTGTGGAAATACCCCGCGGGGGCGGCGTTTGCGGCGGCTCTTCGCCCTTCGCCCCGCGCGACTGAGCGCGGCTTCCCGATGCGGCGCCAGGGCCGCCGTGCGCCCGGCCCGGGCTCGGCCCCGTCCTTGACCCGGCACCGCCGCGGAGCCGTTAGCCATTGCCGGAGCACTTGCTTATCCTCCCTTCTGCCTTGCTCTGCCGGGACCTGCCCGTCAGGTTAACCGGCCTTATTCAATAAATTGCAACCGAAAAACAACGCGGGTTGTGGCACGCTGCAAAAAACAGGAACTTTTGTACCTAGAGGTCAACCTGGGAGGGCAGTAACTATACTCGCAGTGGCATGTGCAGCTACCCTGGCTCCAAACTGTTACATGCAAACTGTTAGCTTAATATCCAGTTATTATTATTAAATATCTACTCTGTCCCCTAAGATTGTGGATCCTGATTTGGGCAGTTGCAAAACACAGAGGTTGGTGGCCTTTTAGTGTTTCCTCCTAGGGTGACTAAATATATGTGTTTACATGCACCTTCTTTCAGATGTAATGAACTTTTTGCCTGGCTTGTTAGTAAAGCTGTGCAGTTGTGCACCTCATGTTTATCTGAAAATCTGTAAGAAAGAAACAAGAGGGTCTGCTCCTTTGAGCTGTTCATTCAAACAGTCTTTGACTATGCGCTTTCAATGAGACTGCTTGTCTGAATAAGGATTATTCAGCCCACCAAGGGCTGCAGGGTCTGGTACCAGCTGCTTAACAGACAGGCAAATGCATTTCCAGATGATTGGATTACTGACAAAAAACAGTCATCATGCTCATCATAATTACATTCTTGGAGGGTGGTGTGTGTATGTTTTTTTTTTTTTTTCAAGTGGTGTAGTTGTGATTTCTTATAATTGACTACAATGCTCGATGAAAGATTGTCTGGTGATTTTAGTAGATAGTCATTTGTCTTTTCCCCACCCTGATTTTTATGTTGATATTTCGAGGAGGAGACAGGAGAAAGATTTACTTCTCCCATTAATTCTGTTAACTCACAGACTGTCACTATAATCTGTTTCAGGGTTTTACTCTGTTGCCCATTCTTGTAGTCACTGAGCATCTTTCATGTTTTTAAAACTGAACAGAACAGTAAAGGCTGAGAAGAACTTTGTGTAATAACTGTCAGCTCCTTTTTAAGTTATTCCTGGGATAATCATTTTAAAGTTTGTTTGCAATATCACTTGAGTGAGCTAAGAGTTTCTTCAGTTATATGCTCCTTATGTGTCATGTATGAAAATTCTCATTCTTCTGGTGCAAAGCCCCTAATAAAGGAGAAGATTTAGCAGGATAATCCAGATTTATTTAATCCTATCTAGATATATGGACAAAATTAAAGCAAAATAATTCTTGTAGGAAAAAATACATTGCACAGTGAGTTATGGTTTTTTTTTTTTTAGTCTTCTCAGAAAGAAAGAATTCATTGCACTTTTTTATGGTTTCCATATTACCTCGTTATTTACACAGGTAACTGAATACACATATGATAATACACATGATTTCACTTACAATCAAATTCAGACATCAAGACTTTATTGTTATCGCTCAATCACTATCACTCAAACACTCTAAGTACCAACACTTAATTATGTGGAATAAAGCATTCACAGCCTAGAGTAGTTTAAAAAAGACTTAGCTTATTGTGATGGTTGCTAATAATATCATACACATCATGTTGATTGAAGCAGCAGCAGTACCTGTATAAATCCTCAAATTAATTCTATTTATTAGCTTTGCATCTCTGACTAACTACTGCTCTTATCTGAAAAGTTAACAGGGAGTTGTTGGGGTTTTTGTTGTTGTTGTTGTTGTTGTTTTTAGTAATAGGTCTCCTTGCATATGGATATTTAGGGCAAAATCTGTGTCTTTTCTGTGATTTTTTTCATGTGCTTCTTACAGGAAAAAAACAGTTTATTCTGTTGGTTTTACATGACATAATTTTTATATGTGTTCCTCAAAGTATGTTACAATGCAACATCTTTAAGTATGTTGCATTTTGCACAGAGTTTATAAAACCTCCTGGTCATAGTTTACATTAATGGAGTAGCAGTGGTACAACAGTGGCAGTCAGCTGTATTGTGTGTAGTATCCCTACTTGCTTCAAGCCTTAAATTCTGATGAAGCCCATCTTTGCAAAGGTGGTATCTGGGCAAATATGGCAAAGTATAGGAAGAAAAATAAATCTACAACTACTTGGGAGACATAATGCTGAGAAACAAAACAAATTAATTAATTTCTAAAGACTTCAAAGCCATTTCTGTGTTTTTTCTTTTTCATTTTTTTTGGAAACGTATATATATATATATTTAATAATTTTAGGGTGCAGTCCTGGTATTACTGAAGTGAATTGCAGAGCTCCCATACCTACATTTCTTCTTAAGGTCTGTCTGGAAACACATATTTAATCTGGAGAATGTGAATAATGTCAGAAATAGTTGACAAGGTAATAGTTTTTAGATCTGCTTCAAGTTGCCTATTTGGCTGGCTATCTGACTGTCCCAATAGATGTGGCTAAGCAGACTTCTTACGCACGGGCATGAGTTGAGTGTTTTTATGGTCATTGTAACATCTCTCTCTAATCTTATTTATTTATTTATTTATTTTTAATCTGCCTATTTGGCATTGATAGATACTTTTTTCAAATCACAATTTCTCCTACTGTTTATATTCATCTTAGTGTATCATGCTGTCCTATTTATGTGTTCTTTTCTTTTCTTCTGAATCCACCTGTTGTTGCAAGATCTTCAGGAGAAAAATGTCCCTTTGTTATATGTGCATACGATAGTTTATGTTGAGGCCCTGGTAACTACTACAGCAACACTTGTACAAATAATTCATGCAATTTTATTTTCTCCTTTGTCAGAAGGCCATCTTCATTACATACAACTGTTGCCTTTTTTTTTTTTAACTACACTGTTCGCCATTAATACTTTCTTTTATAGATGCATTCCTCTTCAGAAGACAAATTTTTGTTGCATGATGGCTCACTCCACAAGTGCTTGGATCCTTCCTTTATGGAAAATTGCCGTATTAATTGCATATGTTATTTAAATGTGATTTTAAATTTTACTAGCAAAGTAAATAAAAACCAGGTGGTTTGTTTCAAGTATGTATACAGTGGCATGTATCAGTTAACAGCCCGAATATTTCAAATGCCTTCACGAAAAAGGAAACTTACCAGAAACTTCAGGAAGAATTTGCTAAACAGGGTAAATAAAACAACATTTTAAAAGTTAATAATCTCCCATTTGCTTCTGCCCCTATTCTCACTATTGCTTCCACTCTGACAATGAAAAGTCTTATGACAAATTTTCAG